TAACAGGCATCAGTGAAGATGCAGGAGTTAACACAAAGGACATAACTAAAATATACACAGAAGTAATAGCAGAAAATTTCCCAAACATGGGTGAAAAATCTGATATACAAATAAGTGAGGCCTACAGAATGCCAAACAGTCAGAACCAACATAAATCTACACCCAGAAATATAATATTTAAGATCCCAGTCATACAGCATAAAAACAGAATACTAAAATGTTAGACAAAAGACACAACTCACCTACCAAGGAAAGCCTATTAGAATCATGGCAGACTTTTCAGCACAAATCTTCAGGTTAAGATGAGCTTGAAGTGAAGTATTTCAAGCCCTAAAAGAAAATAACTTTCAACACAGACTGGTATCACCAGCAAATATGTCTTTCAAATTTAAGGGAGAAACAAGATACTTCCATGACAAAGAACAACTGGAGAAATTCATGTCCACTAAATCAACCCTAGCAAAAGTACTGAAAGACATGCTAGATAGAGATAAAATGACCACAATCACAGAACAACAGAAGGAAACCACCAGTCTAGACAAGAAGTTAAACAAGGGAGAAAAGCGGGAAGTCAACAACAGCAACACAACATAGCAAAGTCAAGCCGGTATATATCAGTGATATCCATAAATGTAAATGGCCTCAATTCACCTATCAAAAGAAATAAGCTGGAGAGTGGATCAAGAAATAGGACTCCACAATATGCTGTATACAAGAAACACATATGAATCAAAAGGAAACTCATAGATTAAAAGTCAAAGGATGGAAAACCGTATTCCATGCAATAGGAACCCAGAGAAAAGCAGGGGAAGCTATTCTGCTTGCATACAAAGTGAACCTCAAACCTAAAATGATTAAAAGAGATAAAGAAGGCCATTACATACTTGCAAGTGAAAAACTATAAGAGCAAGAAATAACAATTATAAATATATATGCACCAAATATAGGAGCACCCAGCTACATAAGATAAATACTAATGGACATGAAAAACCAAATACACAAGAACAGAATTGTAATAGGAGATTTTAACACCACACTGTCACAAAGAAATAGATCAACTTGGCAAAAAGTCAGCAAAGAAATAACATAACTGAATCATACCTGTAAGCAAATGGACATAGTGGATGTTTGCAGAGTGTTGCACCCAACCACGTCATAATATACATTCTTCTTAGCTGCACATGGGACATTCTCCAAAATAGACCATCTATTAACCCATGCAAAGGGAGCAAAATTATCCCATGCATATCTGACCATAGCGCATGAAAATTGGACATCCATGGTAAAAAAAAAAAAAAAAAAAAAAACTTTAAAACCTGCATAAACACATGGAAATTAAATAGCAACCTTCTGAAGAACCAGTGAGTTACAGATGAAATTAAAGTAGAAATAAAAGAATACCGACAATACTATAAAAACACAGATACATGTCATAACCTATGGGATACAATGAAAGCAGCCCTAAGAGTGAAATATATAGCAATAAACAGTCACATCAAGAAAATGGAACAAACAAAAATAAATAACCTAATGCTACTTCTCAAGCTTCTAGAAAAGGAAGAGCAAGTCAAACCCAAAGCTTACAGAAGAGAGGAAATTGTAAATATTACAGCAGAAATTAATGGAATTGAAACTAAAAATACAAAAACATTAATGAATCAAAAAGCTGTTTTTTTGAGATAATAAACAAAATTGACAAACCTCTGGCCAACCTTATCAAGAAAAAGAAAGAAAAAACTCAAATCCATGCAATAAGGACTGAAAAGAGGGAAAGTACTAAAAATCCCATGGAAATTCAAAAGATCATGAATACCTACTTTTGAAATCTCTACTCACACATGGTGAAAAACAACTTCACAATGTTTGTTCTTCCTATCCATGAGCAAGGGATGTCTTTCCATTTTCTGAGATCATCCTCAATTTCCTTTTTCTGTGTATTATAATTTTCACTGTATAATTCTTTCACTTCTTTCGTAAGAGTAATTCCTAAATATTTCATTTTTTTGCTTGCTAATGTGAAGAGTGCAGTTTCTCTTATTTCCCTCTCTGTGATTTTGTTGATACTGGGTCAAAAACCAGAACTTTGGTCAAATATCATCTTCTCAATAATTCCACCCTTAATCTTACCTCATTTTGTTTCTTCAAAAATACTTTAGATACACTACAACTAGAAATTTAACTACATTTTTACCAAAAACATTGTATTTATAATATCTAATGCAGAATTTTTGATATTATAATATCAGCATTGATAGTTTAGAAAGGAGATCTCAAAATTCATAATCATAGTATTTTCACCTACTGTAATATTACCTCAAAAGATTTCCTAGAAACATGATGGGTTAGTAAGTTCTAATACAAGTTTCTTGGAAATAAATTTGTACAGTTTGAAAGCTTGTTTTAGCAAAAAGAAATATAGAAAATTACAATATTAAATTAACCACAGAAAATAATTATTTTTTAAAAATCAATCCAATTATTTGAGTTTGTAGAAAGCCAGGTTTCATACTCTTAAAATTTCTTGGACCATTTATTAAAAAAATAGTTATAAAATACTGCTGGCTAGTTATACCTGGTTTTTATCTTTCCCCATAGAATAATACAGGATGTTCAATCATTCTCAGCAATTACAGTGCCCCCAGAGTTTGTACAAGTGAATGTCATGAACCAGATTTCTGGTACATCCACTGTTCTATCTCTAACAGAATTTCAGTAAAAAACAGGTGGTGAGGGCAGAGGCTGGGCCATTCCAAAGGCATACAAAGGAAAGTAGGATACTCAGGTATCAGAGAAATGAGCAGCTATCAGATAGCTCTGCTCAGAGGACTAAGAGAACAAAGTGCTACAGATGCTCAGCAACTTCCTGGACCTGGGGAGCCTCAGGAAGGGAGGATAATAGTCCCCTGATACCTGCCTCCCTTGTGAAGAACCAAATAGGAAGAGGATGAGGAAAGAAACTCTAGGTAGTGGAGCACACAGAGACCACCCTTCTTGCTTACACCACAGCAAGCAGAGAGATGGGTGGCTATGGGTGAAATGAGGGTCTGAGGCACAGTCAGTGGCTCATTGTTCTCTGGTGACTGGGGTTACCTTTGTATGAGCCTGAAGTTGCTTCTGCATCTCACTCTTATGTGAGAAGACATACTCTGCCAACATGTGGAGATTTAAATGCAAATTTTCAGGAAGGCCTGAAAAACTGGCTCAAGAGTGAAAAAAAAATGTATGGGCTTTCTCTGATGACTACAAATAGAATTGGTATAATAACGAAGGAATGCATTTTAAAAGAATGGAATTTCTTTATGTTGAAATCATAATCCTTTTCTCTCTTCCTATTTTGGTAAGAGGTGCTACATAACATAAGAGATGCTACTTTGCTTTTTTCAATGTTTTAGACTGAATTATTATATTGTTTTCTTCATTTTCTTATTTTCCTCTGATTCAGTAGAAAAATCCTTCATCACATGGAATATTGTTATTGGTATGATATGTCTCACTAATATTTGATTGTGGTTTGAGGCTGTTTGAATCATTCAGAGGTTAGCACTGGCTTGTTATTTAAATTTATTCACGAAACCTTTTATCTGTTCAGAATTGTACAAGCTTTGCTCACTTTTGATGGGCAAATGGACCAAGGTAACATGTAGAGCAAGAATAAACAACAGGCAGCTGTAAAGCAAGGATTGAAAAACAAGACAGAACAAAAACCATGTCAAAATATTAGAGAACCAATAAGTAAAGATCTCTCTGTGCCCCAAAGACACCCAGGAACACATAAAAAAATGACCTTGAAAAGTATCCAATCTCATGTGCACTGAAATTTTAGCACCAGCTCACCTTGGTTTTGGATACCAAAACACTTTCTCTAAAAATCTTATAGGTAGAATGAATCAGGTACCTAGCTGGGCTATGACTCCTGTAAATTCCCTACTGTATTTCCTCTCATAATCCAAGAATTTAAAAGGTTCAGAATCTGCCCCTATTTGTGTCATTGCCTCTTTTAACTGGATTGTTCTCACTGCAAAGAGTATACTTTGGTTTTCAATAAATTTTACTATTGTTACTAAAGTCTTTGCATTACCAAGAATTTGGGAATAACTTCCCTGAGAATGCCCATCCAGTAACAAGATCACTACATGAAAAATCACAATTATTACTAACATTTAAAATATCCTGAAGAGATTTGAACATAAAGACCATATCTTTATCCAAATTCAATTTTAAAAGGTTATGAACACACCATAAAAACTAAAGATTCCTAAAAGCTTAGATTGCAATGACTTACTTAACAAGTTAAACAGACTTCTTTTGGTTGCACAGGGAAATCAATTTAAAATGAGGCTGGTATTTAGAAGTAAGTGAAAATAGCTAAGGCAGCAGAGTTTCCCTTTTGTCCACTTCAAATCACCAGAAGATGTTTTCATGTTTGCTTTTAGTTTTTAAGGTCAGAGAAATTTCAGACAATTAGCAAGTCTAAACTGGGTCAAACTTATTGTTTAGCAGGGTAGTGATTCAGCTCAAAAGTCTGTCATTCCCCAATACAAATGATATGGGAAGGCTGATTGAGATTTGGTACAATCCTTACAATTCTGTGGGCAAACAGAACTCAAAAGGAAAATAAAACATAAAATCACAGCAAAACCAGAAGTTTAAGAATTCAGGAGTATAGTACTCACTGACCCTTTTGGTTGAGGCAGAAGAAATGATGCTCTACTTAATAATGAAGCCTGACCTATAAAAATTACAAATTAGATAAAAATACTCAAAGGGATAGAATCTATTGTGAAAGATAAAACGTTTAGCATTGTGTAGTGCTGCGGAAATATAATTTAAAGCATAATTTACCAAACATGAAAATGTCTTCAAATTCAGACAGAAAAAAAATAACTTTATTAGTGAATAAATTTTAAAACAGGTATGATAATACCAGACAATGGTATCTTTAGATCCCAAAATGATAGAGAAAAGACCAGGCCAAATATTGCAAGTATAGAATGACTTACACATACAGAGCTTTACTGGAGGAGGGTCATGCTTCAGGTAATTGAGGCATCAGCATCAAGGCGTCAAGGTGTCAGCATTGATCAAGGGATTGCACAAGCTGCTTGCAGAACCAAGAGAGCAGCACATTGTTGATTGTCTGCTGCAGTGTGACAAAGTGCATTAGTTTCCATTGACCAGTTGCAAGGCTCTAAAATATGCTGCTTTTTGTGCTAGATAGACTCAGGTGGTCACAGTGAACTTTCCAACTGGCTGCTGAAGTTTTATGAGGCTGGCACCTTCATCCTGCACAAAACAGTCCAGACTAGAGAATCTGCACCCTAGAACAAGAAATGTAGGGGAAAACAAATAAATAAACAAGCAAACACACATACCAGCTCCAATGGGAAATAGTGAAATTAACCCTGTATGATAGACTTAGACAACTTGAAAGGGTAGAACAGCAGACAGAACAGAAACAAATTATGTTTGCAAAGATTTCTACTTCAGCCGCCCATCAGGTATCCGTAGATACAAGGGAAGCTAAGTGTTATCAACAATGCGGCCTTCAAGTTTCTACAAAGTAACCCAGGCAACTGTCACAATACCTCATGTTATCTACAGTATAATTAGCAGGAAACTAATAATCTGTTTCCCGGCTGTGTGAACTCTGAAATCAGTGATATAAACTAGAAGGTTTACCTAAGAATTTTTCCCCCCTTGAGAACATCTTTGTCATTTTTTTGGAAACACATTGACTTTGTACTTTTATCAGACTCTTTTTGACAAGGTCAGCTAAAATAATCACAAGGCTAGAACCTTGTACTACACTACAACGGACAGTACTCTACCATGCACAGAAGCTCATTTGGTTCATTTAACCTTTGTCCTACCATGGTGGTCACTGAGTCTCTCAAACTGTTTACAAAGATTAAGGAAATGTTACTATGTTTGTACAACCAACCAGATGCTCCTTGCCTACACCTTTTTCAAAATACAAAATTGTGAGTGCTCAAGTAAAAGGGCTAAACAAAGCTCCTTGTCCCTCAAAGCTCATGTTAAATGCACCTGTTAATTACAATGATCCTATGTGCTAGTTAAGCACCAATTCAAAGGAAAAGTGAGCTTTGTTATGTTATGAAAAGACAGTTTTGCAATGTATAACTAGATATTCATGTAAATTAGGCTGTATTCTACTTCAAAAATTAAAAAAACTGGAGTAAGAGTGCAGTTATTGGGTGACAGAGTGCATGTCTGTGTTACAGGAGGCCCTCAATTCAATCTTCAGTGATCAATCAGTTGATTAATCAATGAAAGAAACTAGAAGATAAAATCTCCAAACTTTCTTAATAGCAATATATCAAAGAGACAATTTTCATGATTTAGGAAGATATTTTTAAGTCATAAATCTGCCAAAAAGATTTAGTTGTTTAAAATATTTACCTAATTTCAAAGAGAGAGAAATTATAGTGAGAAGCTTTCTACAGTCAATGCTCTCTAAAAAGCAAGAGAGGATGTCTTTGTCTTCATAGTTTCCTTCCTCTCTCTCCCTCCCTCCAGTTCTCTCTTCTTTCCTTCACTCCCCTTCTTTTCTTTAGATTAGATATACTGGAATTATTATTAATTCTAAAAAATCTAAATTTTCATCAATTAAGAAGTATATAAAAATTATATACTCACGTATTATTTGCCTCCAATAAAAATTGATGAGCTAGAACCTATAAATGAGTACAATTGCTGATATGCGAAGAAATATAAAGAAAATATCTACATTGATGGAAATATTTAAAATATACCTAGAGAAATGATTCATTTTTAATTTACATTAGTGACATATTCTATGTCATTACATAGAAATGTCTGTATTACTATTGGCTTGTTGTTATCAATGATTCTTTCTTGATTTTGGGATGTGATTTGAGGTACATGTTTGAAGGCATCAAATTTGTACATTTTATAATTTTCACTTAACTAAACATGTAATTTTAAACACATATAATTGCATCAAAGTGATAGCAAAAGCTCCTCACCTAATTTACAGAATCAGAATCTGAGCAATAAATTCTAGAATTATGATTAATTAAAAATATTCAACTTTTAAACCTTAATCTTTGAGATTTTCATATCTCATAATGTAACACAATTAAATCATTTGTTAAACACAGAGCACAAATCTCTACTACAAAGTCTATACTTAGGCTAGGTGTCCAGTAATAAAATTGAAAATCGGTTTCCAGATTGTTATGGCTGATATTTCCCCCAAAGTCTCAAGCAGTCATGGAGAGATTCAAAGGTGACCAGGTTAAAGTGTGTGACATTGGCATAAGGCTGTGATGCTGGGATTTGGAGTGCCCGGCCCTGCATGGGCGTGGAATCACCTTGTCTTAGTTACTTTCTACTTGTCACTAAGACAAAAATACCTGATGCTCAAAGTTGAGAAAGGAAAAGATTTTGGAGGTTTCAATCTATACTCAGTTGGCTCCATGGCAGGCTGGCATGGCAGGCCTACAGTTTCTGGCAGCTGCAAACAGCAAACAGAAACCAGCAAGAGAGGGAGAGACACACACACCTTCTTCCTGCCATTACGTTGCACTCCGGTTCCACCCCTATGTGGGTATAGCACTGACACCAGCAATCCAACCCATTGTCCACTAGACAATGAACCAATCACAAATGCATAATTCAAATGCATGAGCCCTGGGGGCCACCAGCATACACCAGCATACACCATGACATACCTGAAAGTTGGTAGTCTGGGTGGACCACAAAGGGATACGAAGAAGCTGCTCTGCTACCTCACTGCTGGTGCTGCTAGGGCTGCTGTTTTTTGCCTGCCCTGCCAAGTGACAGTCTTTTTCTCCATGCTATGTGCCTCTGCTATGCCATCCTGTCTTGCAGTGAAGTTGCCTATGGACTGAAATCTGTACAAACTGTAAGACAAGATGCACCTTGCTTCTTTGAATTCTGGGGGCTGAGTATATTGTCTCAGTATTGGAAAAAGTAACTAAGACCCAGAACAAAAGGAATACACAGTGTTATAACAGAAATCCAAGAAAAAGGGCACAATAATATAACCATTAGAATTATAAGAAACGCTCAAAGGGATCTCCAGAATACAGTACATACTAAAAAGAGTAGAAAAATTTATAGAAAAGAGTGTCTTTCAATTCTGAGAAAAGGGTAGTGCTTAACAAATTTTGACAGGAAAAAAAAAGGAGTATTGTGTTAGGAAAAAATTCAGATCAAAAGAGGACCTAACAGTATTACTGCAGGAATTTCTCTCTCACTTCTAAATTACCAACATAGAATCCGAGGATGGCACAATGTCATCAAAGGAAAATTTCCACTTGTTGATTCAATTTTTTAAAACAAATTATGCTAAATATTTTAGTGTATCACATTTATATATGCCTCAGTAACTTTAAAATTAAAAGTTCATTTAAAAAGATTTTGAATAGCTCTCACAGTTTAAAAACCACTGAATAATGTTGAAAGGAAGGCTTTCCATGGGGCCTGGGATGTACCTCAAAGCACAAGCATCTGCCTGGCAAGTACAAAGTCATTACTTTGATCCCCAGTACCCAAAAAAAAAAAATGGAGGACTTTTCAGTAAGTGGACCCAACACAACATTCAGTAAAGACTTTTGATAATTTAATATACCAAAAGTCACTAAGTATGTTACAATAAAAAATGTAACACCAACATAATGCTTTAATTGAGAATTAAATTTTGTTGACTTCATATACATAGCTTGTTATGCTTTACAATCCTTTTGTGATACAGTGAGTTTTATTTTCTATTTTCCCTTCCTCTTACCTTCCCTTTTATATTTTCTTTCCTCCATTGTTCATATATATATATATATATATATATATATATATATATATGGGTTATTGTTTATATATACAATTTAACTAGTACTTAATATTGATTATATGTAGTTTAATTGTATTTATATATACACATAAGTACTTCTGGAAAATATTTTTCTTTTATATTAGCTATTTTGGAAAATAAAATGGTACTCATATAATACTTAATTTAAGAAATTATCTTTTTCTCAGTACTGTCAAAGCTTCAGAGATAGTTATCAAAATTTTTATTTTTTCTCATAAGCTATACTGTATGAGTTTTATTTCCTACAGTGCACCATAAAATACCAAGTTTTGTAGCTGATATATTAGAGAGACACAAAAATATTTCGCTTCTGAGTCATGCATGGATTTATTAGGTGATATTTAACATTGTTTATGCATACATATTTTTATTTTTTTCAAGTTTTTTAACCAGTTTTACAGTGCTTGTGGCTATTTTTAACAAAAAGACAATACATACATTGTACTCAGAGGACATTTTCATGGAACAGTTAAATATCTTATGGTAGATTAAAAATTGCCAACAGGCACTGACCATTTGAGTTACTCATTGCAATAAAAATTAATCAAAAGCTAACTATGCTGATATTGAAAATTTCAGAAGAAAACTAGTTCTTTAAAGTTTCATGTCATCACATTAGAAAGCAGAAATAACATTTCTGTACATAGAATTAACAACAAATGTGAAATGTTGAACTATTTTATGTCTGAAATAAATTTGCTATTTCATATAATTTCTCTTGTCCACAAATATTTTAAGGTAATAAGTTTCATTTCACACTTTCACATACAAAATTAAGATTCAAATGTTTTCATATTAATATTTGTTATTTAGGGGATTCCAATGCAGTTATTAGTATGTTTTATTATTTTTCATTTAATTGCTTATTTCCACTGATAGTAAGTCTGAGTGAAAGGGAGACTTGTACCAAAGATATTAATAAAGACTATTGCTTCATGGAGGGCCCCATTTCATTTCAGTGGTCTTGAGGTGGAACACAGTTTGTCAAGGAAAAGTAGGGCTCTAACATGAAAAACCAGGCTATGTCCTAAATCACCAAGTAGAAGAGAAAATAAAGGAACGAGAATGTTCACCCATTGTCTGCCTGGGAATTAAACTCCTATTATAATTGGATCATTTTCAACTTACAGATTTCTTTAACTTTCCCTATTAAAGATATACAGTCAAAATGCTCCAATCAGAATTGTTTAGCAGTTGAAAAACAATCTAGATGAGATAATTTGATTAAACTTTTGGAAAATTTCTTAATTCAATTTCTGTGTACTCCTTTCCTTGATAGTATTTGAAATAGAAGAATTCTAAAGTTTATTTTCTCTTTTTTAAAGATACATATTTTATAAATACTCTAAGTCATTTGGGAAACTGGAAAGAAAGTATAGGAAAACATTTTTCATCATATTCTCCCATGCAAGAAATTATTCTAGCATTCTACCCATAAGTTTA